GTCATATCTCGGGCATTTTGTGATCACCATCAAGTGAGTGGGAGGTTTTTAATAGCATTGACCGACTATAAATGGCCTTCACTTAAGTAGTACTACGACTGCCGTGCGAACTCCGAACTACGGATGAAAATATTCCTGATGCTAAATATCAAGTAAGCCTCCTAAAAATGCAGACTTTGAGAGGTGAAACAAGAAAGTCAGGTAGTGTGTAGTGTACAACAGTCCAACAGCTGATTGAAGTAGATGTGAACGTGACTTACACGGGTGGTCAAAACCACCGAACTATCTTCACACAACAATACCTTCACAAATTCAGCTTACAAATGCTCTGTCCTTCGCACCTTTAACTCTAACGACTGCTGCACTACCGTCAACCGGTTCTGCATCAGCTGGATACTAAAAGGTTAGATCGCAAGGAGTCTGCATCTATGCAGATTTTCAGTGGGTATCGAAAGGGGTGCTTCTCATATAATTCCGTTATGTGCTATCTTGGGCGCTTGAGTGACCAATTAAATAGCTTTTCAAAGCAGCCGCAGTCCGCAAAGTAGGTATGCTGTTTGATTTGCAATTCATTTTGTTGTTCGAGTTGTCTGTGGTGGTTCTAGTTAGCTTGTCATTACAATTTACAAAAAGTCGCAAAGTTTGAGATTATCATTTTTGATAGGAAGACCGTTTGAATGTTGATGCAAACACTACAACCCGATGTCTACTCTCCACGACTTCGTGAGAGCCTCTCCTTTTGAACACTTGCTGAAATTGACACGTGCCAAATCATCTACTGGGTCAAACGTACCTTTCTTGCGGATGTGCTGTGCATGATGCGGACCAGGCGGTCGATTTCCTATCTTATTTAAGTGTCAAACAAATGCTGAGATTTGTTTTAAATACGAAAATATTGCTGCAATGAATTTGTGATATTAATTATTCTGCAACATACTTCTGAGATATTTCTGTCAAACCAACACACAGGCTTTCAACTGAGCTTTTTCGGTCGCTTGCAAAGACTATACTCCATAAAAAAGGGCTTTTTGTGTTATAGGCACGTTTCTTTGTGATTTTAGAAGTTCTTTTTCTTTTTTATACTCCTATCATAACAAATAGCATTTTCTTAAAAAGTTAAGCATGAAAAAATATATATTGCGGTTTTTAATAGCGGTTTGAAATGCTGAGTGATTGTAACCCAACCCGCTTTACTCTTACATTGACGGTTTCCAAAATGCATTCTGTGTACATTCCGCAAAAGAAAAATCGCATGTTTCTTTGCACTATAGAGATGATAGCACATAGTGCTCTTAAACTTTGCAGTGAATGTTAAACCTGTTATATACTTTACAGAAAGAATCAATCAATACGATACCTCTTCTTCATGTTTTTACATATTATATTTGAATTTGTAAGAATGTTTACAATTAATGAGGAAATTCCATAAAGCATAGTTAGTTATTTTTTACAGTGTAATTTTTGCCGGCGGCCGGAACTAAGATCATTTAATAGCCAGAATTCTAGCGTGACTGAAATATCTTTGAATTGGACTGCAATATAATCAATATTATAAACCTTATAAGACACTTATGAATCGAACACACATTGCATAATTTTGGCTGACAGTTACTGAGGCATTAAATCTACGTTATTCGGTGATCCATCCGAAATTTCACAGAATATGACTGAATCTGCCTATTGGCGTGCGACAGCATAACTGGCCTCATGATTAATATAAAATATGCATCAAAAATGTGCAGTTTTGGTTTGTTAAGAGAGACCGAAATTTTAAAAAACAAACCGGAAAGTGAGTAATTATAAGGTGAACAGTTAGAGGCGCCTGTTTCAGCATGAAGAGCTTTAACTGATGGGCTAGGTGAACTAGAAATCTAGTTAAATTAAAAACACTTTAGGGGAATATCAATACAAGTTGCTCAAGTTTGGGATTGTTTGAGCCTTTAGTGTTTCCTATTCTCTGCTCCAAAGACTTTTAAAAGCATTTGGTTAAAAAAAACAGGGAAAACCCCAAATCGGCATATTATTATGAGATCAAAGTATTCGCAGAGATATCTATATACTCACACAACTCTTTTATTTAATTCTCTACCTTGTTCATGAAAAACAAACATTTAAGCAGGACAGACGCTCATGCTGTTCTCATTGGAAACGTTTTCAACTGACTCTTTAGTTTCCGGTATTATTTAAACTCTAGACCAAAAACGCGAAATTTATCAAGGTATGTCGTAAGAGGTACCAATATTTTTCGAACAGTGGCTACTGCCATATGATAACATTATTATATTACGGCATGCTGGACTTTGGCTGGGACTTCGGCCTGCAAGCCTGCGAACATCAAAAAGCCCATGCTATTTCTGTAAACACTACAAAAATTCGCTTGTCCGAGAACAAATATCGTGTTCTCGTTTTGGTACGTTTTCATGTGCTTCTCATTTTTATCGTCATTACGTATCACAAAATGGCTGTTTCACTTCAAAGTAAAATTTTTTAAAAAAGCATTTTGGGTTATTTTTATCTGTCCTTTTCCCCCGGTTGGCCAAAATCGCTGTCTTCTGGTTTTAATCTTAACCTGTCAACTGATTCGATTATTTTATTTTTTATTAACTCGAAAGTATAATTCCTTCCAGAAAAAAACAGAAGCTTACAGCGTTGCGTAGGCGCCGTTTGACGCCCAACTTTGTTTCTCTGTTGGAAAAAGCACTACCTTGCATTTCAAGGTAAACAGAAAGTCTTCATTACCCCAACTGAATTTGCTGTATCTACTGAGTTTCCGGCTATAATCTCAGATAACAAGTTTGATTTGGGTAACCGTTGGCAACCCTGGTCCGCCAGACACTTGTACATGGGTGGGTAAGGAAACTCCGGAATGCCCGTACAAGTAAAAATGTGAGTACCAGGAGGTAATTGCAAAGCAGTAGATTTGATGGCTGGGACAATAAATTTAGTCGCCTGACGTTTCAAAATCCACCGCAGATTCTCAGAACCAGGTATTTCATACACAGGGAGTTTTGCGGTATAATCGCCTCGCTACTGCAGGCTTATGGCAATTAACCACTCCACATTCCAAATTTAGTTGTCCGCTTGTGCGTTAATG